TTTTTTTTTTTTTTTTTTTTTGCACCGATGAATTCGCCTAATGAGTCGTCGCTTCGCGTTAACCGGGAGCTGAATGACGTCGAGCGGGATCGGGGAAACGCGACTTTTCTAAATGAAATTTTTTCTCTCGCAAAAACTCGACCTTCCCTGCCGCCGCTTTTCACAGAAATAGAGAGAGAAAGAGACATACAAGAACGATCCGGTACGAACGAGTGGCTCGAGGGGGTTCGAATCGCAACTTTGCATTAACGATCGCGTGAAAGGGGACAGTGAAGGTTCGAGGATCCTCTTCCAACTACTTCCTAATAAAATTTGACGAAGCTTGATTTCCTTGGTGCTGCTCCATAAGTACGATACGCAACGCAATCTCTCGTACGTATCACGGTCACGAAACGCGTGCAAGATTGGAAATTAGCGGTTGACAGCGTTCACGGCAGCGGTTGGTTGCCGTTATCCCGAAAATTGGCTGGCAATTTCGCGAAGAAAATGGAAGGCGTCGAGCGACGTTCCTGCAATCGGTCGCTCGTTCCCGTGACCCCGAAATCGGCGAAATCGAGTTTACCCCCCGGTAATCTAGGGGAATCACGAGGGAGCCAAGGCAAACGAAACCGTTCGAGCTACTATACTTCTCCATCCCTCGAATTGAAGTCCCGCGGGCGGCCCTATCAGCCCACAAAGGAGGATCACTCTATTACTTTTGCTTCGTTTTCGCCGCACTCCAAGGCTTCCCTCGAGTTCGACCCTTCTCTCTCTCTGCTTGTCTACTCGCATCTCGTCTAATCACGTGTCCCCCTTCTCCGCCTTCCGACCTTCTTCCTTCCTTTCTTTCTTTCGATTCGGGGCCCTCCCCCTCTCTGTTCGATAACCCGATTATTCGCCCCTTTTTTTCCGCCAGGAAAAACCTTTCTTTTCCGTCGGTTCAAAGATAACAGGGCTAGATTGGAAGCAATAGAACATCCTCCCGTCGAAATTCGTCTCTCCACTTTTCGCGTTTCTTTCAAATTCGCTTCTTTCCTTAAACATCCTTTCATTAAACAAGTCACGGGGGCGCGAAGAATCGGCTCGCGGATCTCTGCGAAGATCGCATTTAACGGGGAGAAGGAGGGCGCGATCGTGATGCAGCGATCGGATGATAGACGAGGAAAGAGCGAACGCCTCGAGCTCTTTGCTCTGAATACGGATTCCGATATTATCGCCGTCGAAAGAGGATCACNGATTACCCCGGCGTCTCGTTTAGAAACGACGGCCCCGAACGAAGGTAATTGTCGCCCTTAGCGAGTCACTGCTACCTCCCCCTCCCCCAATCGACGTGCCCTCCAGGCTTCTTTCTAACAGCGGAGCAACGCGGGATCGGCCATTTCCTCCCTCGAATCACGCCATCCCGCGAATTTCGCGGAACTCCGTCGTTTACCAAGTTCGCCAATCGCTCGCGAGGCAAATCTTCGAATCCGGGGGATGGGCGTCGAAGCGAAAGTGCGCGCGAGAGACTCGAAAAGAGAAAGTAGACAAGCATCGTCAGAATAGAACAGCCTAATAGTTATTATTTTTCGAGAGTGGAGAGAACGGATGTCTCGATAACGACGGCGAATAAATTATTTCCTTCCAGCTCGATTCATTCCATAATACGGAGGAGGAATCTCTTCGAAAAGAAAGGAGAGAGAAAGAGAGAAGAGAGGGGGGAATGAAATAAAAGGGGCAACAATTACGGATGGAGATGGGACGCGATAGATAAAGAGCGAAAGCGGGAAATCTAGATGAAACCGCGGAGGCGGAAAAGAAAGGAGAGAGAAGGAGGAGGAGGAGGAAGGGGAGTGAGGAGAGAGCGAGATTGAGATAGAGGCTTAAGCCCATCGTATCCAACAGCAGGAAGCAATATGTCCGTTCCGTAATAGCGTGGAGCACGGAGGTTAATGGGTTGTCCCTAACGCGCCTAACCTGCCCCACGTTTCCCCACGTGTGTCCGCTCGTCTCATCCACCTACCCGTCACATTGTGCCCCGATAACGCGCCCCCTCTAATCGACTAATTTACCGTCTCTCTTCTAATTACCGGATACGACCGAAGAATACGACGGTATCGGTACGACGGCTCGCCCGATAATTCTCTCCCCTCTCCGCCAACTTCCCACTTCCCATTTCCCCGATAAACGTAACGAATCCAATAATTCAGGGGCCACGCGTCCATTAATTTTGATCGCTTTAATCATCATCGTAGCGTATCCGGACATCGAACAGGCCGAGCATTATCGATCATCGCGCGAAACGCGACTTGGAACACACCACGCGTCCTGAATCTTCGGATATACGATTGAATTGGGTGAATCCCAATTGCGCAAACGGTGTACGTATATATATATATATGTATGTATGTATCCTCGAACGAGAATCGAGGATATCCCTGGCCAGGTAATCGTAGAACGTAGATAGTTGGCGATGTCATGGTCACGGCACGTTAACGTAACCTGCTAATTGTTAGTTACGTTGACAATTGCATTAGCTTCCTAAGTCCGGATCCCTCCCTCCTTTGCCCGCCGGCCATCGTTACATCGGGTGTTGCAGGTGCTGGCGCGGTTTCGTGGCCTAACGACGTGCCAGGATATGGATTAGAGCGGCGTAATTGAGCTACACAACAGGTGGGACAGGCGGAATCGGGGAGGCAACAGCTTCAAGATTGGATATTTATCGGTTTATCCGGCGAAAGAACCGTTCGAACTCGAGACGATGGGGAACGATCGATTTTAGCGATCTCTTGGCTTAGAGACGAGCAGTTGGCGAGTCGCTTTTCGAGTCGAGTTCTTCTTTCAAACGAGACGTCCGGTTTTCTTCTTCTTTTTTTTCTTTTCTGCGAACGGCATCGCGCTCGACGGCTCGGAAACAGCCATGGCCCCGTTGCTTAACGACGCGTCGCGACATCGACAGAGAGGCCTGGTGATCGAGACCGACAACAGGTGGACGTTTCAATCGTTCGATTTCGAGCGGAGTACTTTATTATTCGACGATTCAAAATCGACACGATCCCGTGAGACGGGAAGAAATTTCCGAGGATTGGCCCGGACGACGTTGGATCGAGCTGCAATTTTTATGACGTTTTTCCCGGACCCTGTTTACCGAATTAGAGACGAAGAGGGCACGAAGAGGGAGACTTATTCGAGCAATTAAATTACGTTTGAGGGAGAGATCGTGCGGTACGGACTCCATTTGCGAAATTACAGAGCTTCGGGATTGCGCAATCGGATGGAGAGGTGACGCGGCACAACTGCTAACTCGTCAATCTTTCCCTTGATTTCTCTTCGTCTTTTCTTTTCGTTTCGTTACTTTTTCATTGTTCTTCCTTTCTCTCATACACACATACACTCTCTCTCTCTCTTTTTCTCTCTCCATCCCGCTCTTTCGTTTACGCGCGGGAAATTCTTTCACCTCTGTATCGTATTTCCTCTAAAAAAAAAAGAAAGAAAGAAAGAAAAAAGGAAAACCGAACGTACATTTTTCATTCCCCTTTAAGAAAAAGTTTGAACACAGAAGTGGTTATTCCGTGTCCACGTGTATTGTGTCGGGAGACGATAGGTCCGCGTGAAAATATTATCTTTTTTCATCAAACTTTCGTTCTTTGCTCGTCGCGTTGTTAAGTAATCTCCGCGCGTTGCGGAAAAAAATTTTTCATCCGAAAAAGAAGAATCTACTTAGCGATCTCCCGATCTTTATTCTCTCTCGTTACGCTCGACGTATCTTTTCTCGCTTTATTCGAGATAATCGCGTTGTTTCACCGAGGGATGCGAGGGATGGGATGGGATTGTGGACCGGGTCAATAACCACTCCTCGTCAAATTTTTCAGTAAAGTAATTTTATTTTCTCAAACTCTCCTTCTCTTCCTCCCACTACTCCAATATACACAGGACTTTCTCCGACTTTGCCGGATCTCTTTCTCTTTCTGTCTCTCTCTCTCTCTCTCTCTCTCTTTCTCTCTTCCTTTCTCTCCCTCTCTCTCGCGCGTACTTTCTCGCTGTTATTTTTCTTCCTTTAATCCTACTTTCTCGAATACCCGTCCGGAATTTATTTACAAGACACAGTTACCGTACACCGGCTACGGTAATGGAATACGTAAACGACAATAATAAATAATAATAATAATAATAATAATAATAATAATAATAATTAATCTGCTCGCGACTATAA